GCTCAATTGGTTAAGCGTCTGTCTTCAGCTCAGGTCATGATCCTGGGGTCCTCGGATGGAGCCTTGTGTCAGTCTTGCTCAGCAGGGAGCCTGCTTCTCCCCCTGCTTGTGTGCGCTTGCGCTCTCTCTCTCTCTCTCTCTCTGACAAATGAATAAATAAAATCTTTTCTAAAAAAGGTAGAAAGAAAGAAAAATGAGCTTCAAAAGGGGAAAGGTTAGAACATCCTTGCGGGTCCCTTGATCCCTGGGCAAATTTATCTCATCCTAATCCACAGACCAGCTCTCCACCGAAGAAGAGATCTGCACTAGACACATTTTTATCCCTTATCAACATCCCTTCCTTTGAGAACTATGCCTCCACCATTCCACTGGAAACTTGCTCAAGTTCCTGTGTGGTCTGGGTTGGAGAACAGGGGGGTGGGATCATGGTGCAGGCATAAGCAATCACAGTCCCCCACTCCCTGCCACCACCAAGATTTCCTAAGAGATGGTCACCTGACCACTCGGATTTCTTCCTGAAACTTTTGCTTGAGCTTCTGGGGAAAGAGTTGTCCCTTCTCTAAAAACTAGAACCATAAATACAACATATTTAGTCAGCTTAGACTAAGTTAGACAACACCGATAATTCAACAAGGGTACAGCACTCACACAAAGTCATGCTTGGTGCTAATTAGCTATAGATTTCCTTCATGTCCTCTTCGTTCGCTGGACCAACTGAAGAGGGAGCATCTACCTGGCACAGGCCAGTACCATGTGAGGGAAGAAAAGTAGCAAAGCAATGAGATGATCCTTAACGTTTACGCTTACCAACTCATTTTCACTCACAATTTACTCCCCAAAGCAAGTTAAGTGGGCAAACGTGAAGTAGAAGGGCAAGAAATAGAATCTGCCCATTGGGCAAGGGCCAGTAGGGAAGGAATATAATCTGACAAAGACAAGGTAGGCCCAAGACTGTATAAGACCGTCCTACAAGCACTTGGGGAAGCCCTAAAAGAGAACAAAGTCATACATAGACCAGTAGATCCAAAAGACTCAGTCATGGGAGGGTCCAGAAAACTCATCTCTCAGAGCACCTGAATCCAGGCTTGGGCGAGTTAACAAATCACCATTTTTGCTAAGGTTGGTCTGAAGGGAGTCTCTACCACTTGCAACCAAAGAGTCCGGACCCAGGGCTTCTGGGGAGGTTTTTGTTTATCCCTGTCCTACACCTCTCCCAGGGATGAGGGATAATTCAACTCTGACTGTAATCTGTTTTAACATGAACAGGTATGACCACGGAGACACCTAGTTGCAAACAACTTCTCTTCCTCGTTCTCCCTAATGATCCACGACTTGATACACAGAACCAGAGCTGTGGAGTAAAAACCTGTGAATCACCAGCTCTTTAAACCTTAGCATCACTCCTGTCTAGAGACTCCATCAGAAGTTCCCCTAGAATGGCAGATCTCTCTCTGAAGAAGTTGGTATTTCTTCACAACGCCCATCAAAAATCCTTCCCACCACTTCTTATGATGAAGGAGTGGCTATCTTCGGCTTGATTCTGTAAACCCTGGGGCTCATCCCAGAGAAGGACATGTGATTGGCTGATTAGTCAGCAAGCAGGAGAGGATGGATGGGAAGAGGGAGGAACAATTAATCCTATAATAGCAGAGCTAACAGAGAAAGCAGGTGTGACCAGATTGCAGCAGAGGTGCTGGGCTGAATCATCTCAGAGACAGCTATGCCCCCCTGCTCATCTTTGACCGAACTGTCGCCGTGCCCAGCTCCAGAAAAGTTGAAAGGTGACTCCCCATTTAGTGAAAATCTCAATTCACGACATTAGCTGGAAGGTTCAGAGCTACCTCAAGGTGGGGGAGGAAGAAGTGCTGGCTTCTAGCCCAGGACCGGTCACCACACCCTATACTCTCCTAACTCCCAAAGTTGGCCACTGTTTCCCCTTCTGTGAAATGGGGATGACCTCTGCCTCCTCACTCAGATGTCTTGCTTTTAGTTCAAAATGGAAACCAGATGGTCAAGGGCTTGGAAAACTGCCCATGGCTACAGGGATAAGAGCAATTAATACATACTGAGCGCCTCCCATCAAGAGCAGCCTTTTCAGTGTGTTTAATCCTTATGATGCCAAAACGGAGATGTGGTGATTACCTTCATTGTACAATAACATGAAGCAGGAGGCGTCTAGGTGGTTCAGTCGGTTTAAGCATCTGCTTTCAGCTCAGGTCATGATCCCAGGATCCTGGGATCAAGTCTCGCATCGGTCTCTCTGCTCAGCGGGGCGCCTGCTTCTCCCTCTCTTCCCCTAATTCCTGCCCATGCACTCTCTCTCTCTCTCTCTGCCTTAAATAAATAAAATCTTTAAAAAAAGAAAATCTTGAAAACATTAAGAAAATAATAATATGAAGCAAATAAGGGCTAAGTAACTTGCTTGAGTCACACAGGGCCGTCTGGCTTCAGGCTGCTTGCCCTTGTGCACCGCACTATCTCAGGGATTCAGGCTCAATACCAGTTATCTGTTGGGTCAAACATGTCTCAGCAGCCCAGGTTCCTTCCTCCAGAGCCCTTTGACCTGAGACTCAAATATCATCTATATATGTCCTAAAAAATAGCAATCAGATAATAATAATCCCCAATTGTTGTGTGATTGTTTTGTCTTACCCATATAATACTAAAGATAAGGGTTGATAAGGGCTAACGTTTATTGAACATGTCAGCAGACGTGATAACCATTTTTCTTGAGTGGTGTCCCACAGTTCATCTTTACAACAAGTTCGAAAGGAAGGGACAGTATCAGCGGTAATACTGGGAAGTGTCTAAGGGCGGGCTTTCCGCAGGCGGGGTGGGGCGGATGTTCTGACTGCTAGCTGATTTCAAGCTATCAACTCAACATCCAGTCACCACCCAGTGGAATTGTGAAGAGATGCACAGTGGCTCCCATGAGCTGGTATTGGCCCATTCCAGCACACCACGAGTTCACGCTCATTTTATAAAGAGAAAAGATAAGACTTCAGCAGGTGAAATGATTTGCTTAAACTTGCAGAACAAGTAAATAGTGAATTGTGTATTTGAGCCAAAGCCATCTAGATGCAAAGCCAAGACTCTTTATCACTGTCCTGTACAGTCTCTCTAGGCTGGGCTCTTCCTTGGACCAGAGACAATCCATAAAGTTTATCCACCAGGAGGAATAAGCAGATTTATTCCCTGGAGAAACAGTTGTTCACTTGCTAGTGACCCCTAGCAGAGACTGAAGACCTGATGATGGAACGTTAGTGGAAAATTATAACAACTGCAAAACCAATCAAGCTATTGGAGATTTAGATAATCCAGATACAAAGTTTTGGGTCCCATCACCCGTAAATGACCCAAACCAGCTAAGGTCCTGGTTGAGAGAAAAAGCACCATGAAATTTGGTCGTGGTAGAAAGAAATATACATATGAGGGCTGGGAGGAAATGGTGGCAAGGATGATTTGCCGAGACACCATGGTTTCCATGCATGGGGGAAGGGTTGAATTTTAATAAATTTGGGTGGGATGTTTCTGAGATGGCAGGAGTGCCATACTGGGGAGACCTAGTTGGGATAGCAAAATATATCATGGTGGGACAGGAAATTGATGACTTTAGAGCCCTTGATCCCTAATGACTATTATTCTCATTTTGCTGGTGAGGAAATGGAGTCTGAAGGGATTGAATGACATAGCCACGATGACACAGCTAAAAAGTAGCCATACCCAGACTTGAATCAGATCTTTCTGATGCTTTCTTGCCCTTTCTCATTCTACACACAGGCAACAGAAAAGTCAAGTATGATGTAACTTAACCTCCAGAGCCCTGTGTGTTTCATAATACACCCTAGTTATCCAGTTCCAAACATTTTCAGATTTGTGTGAACAGCTTAGGTTCCATTTTCAGATGCTTTCCATGGGGGAGGGATGGGCGGGTAATGAGGAAACCCCAGATGCACGGTGTCTTGTTTCATAACAAGCACACTAGTAACAATGCCTCTTCAGACTATAACCATCCGCGTGCACCGTCTCTTGGGAAGAAGCTGGGAAACCTGTGACTCACACAATCTTCGAGGTACAGCACAAAGATCCATGAGACCTGGGAACCACAGTCTCAGTACCAGAGACTTGAAAAATTATAATCACTGTACACAGAATCATAGTCCCTTAAAAATAAAAACGTTCTAAGACGAACCTTCAGTAATTTCTCTTGGGGCGCCTGGGTGGCTCAGTGGGTTAAGCCTCTGCCTTCAGCTCAGCTCATGATCTCAGGGTCCTAGGATCGAGTCCCGCATTGGGCTCTCTGCTCAGTGGGGAGCCTGCTTCCCGCTCTCTCTCTGCCTTCCTCTCTGCCTACTTGTGATTTCTGTCAAATAAATAAAATCTTAAAAAAAAAAATTTCTCTTAACTACTGTGATTGGAGATTCCAAGATGGGAAACAAATACATTCACACACCCCCTTTATTCAATTTGTTATTCCAGATACCTGCCTATTATTAACTAGAAATTTGGTAGCCCTATCTTGGTAATCCTTAATATCCTCCAAGACAGGCATCCAAACATTTCGGATTATGAATTTAGTCTAAAAAACAACCCTCATTCTCATCCTCTGCTAATGGATTGGTTCAAGCGCTCAGCGTGACTTAACAATATCAGCTAAAATTATAAATATGCATTATCTGACTCAGCAATTCCTTATCTAATAGTTTATCCTACAGGTTTACCCAAATGTGTGCAAAATGACCTATGGGCAGGTTTATGTGTTGCCGCTTTGGGTTACGGTGAAAGATTGGAAATAACTGTGGTCCGATGACCGACCACACAAACTATGGAGCAACCATGCAATGGAGAGCTGTGTTGGGACCCCAGCAGAAAAGGTGAGTCACACACAAATGGATTATTTCAAGTTTAATGAAAGGACTATTTCCAAAACTGAGGGAGAGCCAGCCCAGCGTGGTAGAATACCTGTAAACTAGCTACAATGGGGCTGACCTTCATCATTGCAGGTACAAAGGGAGGGGGCAGTTGCTGGAGCCCAACAAGACCTGTAGGAACAAAGAGGGCCAACAGAGGGGCGCCTGGGTGGCTCAGTGGGTTAAAGCCTCTGCCTTCAGCTCAGGTCATGATCTCAAGATCCTGGAATCGAGTTCCGAGTTGGGCTCTCTGCTCAGCAGGGATCCTGCTTCCCCCCTCCCTCTGTCTGCCTCTCTGCCTACTTGTGATCTCTGTCTGTCAAATAAATAAATAAAATATTTTTTAAAAAAGAGGGCCAACAGGAGGCATGGCCAAAGCGAGTTACATGACCAAGCGTGCCAGTGGGGACAGGAATGTATAATATCCTAAGGAAACAACCAGTGGGAGGGAAGAAGTCATTTCAAAAATAGAGCAATCCACCACAAAGTAAGTCTCAGACTTCCAGTAGCTCTCCTCCCATCACCAGGATAATGCCTCTCAGACAGTAAAGTCAGAGAGAGGCAGGGTACCTGGGTGATGAGTTCAAGCCCCACACTGGGCTCCCTGCTGGGTGTGGAGCCTACTTAATAAAAGTAACTTGATAGATAGACAGATGGACAGGGAGACCAAGGAGTGCAAAGAGATTGAGAAAACCAGAGTCCTTCGAGACATCATATAAAGCCTGAATCCAGCCTATCTGCCTCTTCTTGGTTTGCCCCATAGCTCCCCAAAATAGATGCCCATTTTTGTTTAAACTAGTTTGAGTTAGATTTCTGCCACTTGTAACAGAAGCCCGAATCCCGGATCTTTGGGGGGAAAGATTTTGTCAAGCTGCTATATGCTTCCAGCAGTCTTGAGTGCTAACTCAACCCCCCTTGAAAATCTCAGTTGATGAGGGACACCTGGATGGTTCAGTCAGTTAAGTGTTTACCTTCAGCTCAGGTCCTGATCCCAGTGTCCTGGGATCGAGTCCTGCATCTGTCTCCTTGCTCATTGGAGAGTCTGCTTCTCTCTCTGCCTGCTGGCCCCCAGCTGTGCATGTGCTCTCTCTGATAAATAAATAAAATCTTCAAAAAAAAAAGAGAGAGAGAGAAATCTCAACTCTTCCAAGGGAATCAGCTGTCTCCACTAAGAGACAGAAGTGAATGGCATCATATTCTCCTAACATTTTCCATAGTTTGGAGATATACAGAAAGGTTGAAAGAATCATACAGTGAACCACTACCTAGATGCTATGGTCAGCATTACTCCACTTGCTTTATTACTCCATCTATCCGTCTGTACATTCTCTGATCCTTCCTCCGATTCATCTGGCTTTTGATACATTTCAAAATAGGTGGTAGACATCAGCGCACTTCCACTCATGAACTGTCATCATTTTGTAATTCTTCAAGATGAGACTTCCTTTGACACTTAGAAACAAATTTTAGTACTAGAATAAGCATCTGAGAATCTGACTCCCCAAATCTTAGCATCAGGGACATCCAAAATTCCAGATTCCAAGATTCTTCTTCATTCATCTTTACAGAGGACATCTATAGCTTCTCCTTGGTAGCAAGTCTCTTCTAAGAAAACGAGGTTTCTTTCCAACAGTCATCAGAAATCCTCCCTACTCACCGCTTGTGAGGAAAGGGATGCTTGGAACCAGCTTGGTTTGCTAATGCAGAGCTCTTGCAGAAGGGTTTGAGGCTGGCTGACTGCCACACATAGGGAGAGACAACAGAGAAGAAGGAATGAAGTTTAATCCCCCAAATCCCAAAGCTAACAGAGAACATGGTGTGACTACAAATAGTACCAGAGCAATGACCTCCATCCACCAAATTTCCAGACCTTCCTTGTCTGAACCCAGCCCATCCCTGCTGCACACTTTGGAAGGGCCACTCCCCACATAGCAGATAAACCCAGCTTAGCTCTCCGCTGAAATCCCAGGCATCTCTGGGGTTTAGGGGAGGGAAGAGTCAGGGAAGGCGGAAGTTGTAGGGATCTTTCCCAGGCTTTGCCATAAGTTCCTGTGTAATCTTGGTATGATGATGGCCATCGTTCCCTCCTTTGAAAGTCTTCCATAAAACCCAAAGTATAACCAGATGGCCAAGAACTTGGAAACCGTCAATGGTTCCAGTAATCCTTAAGCATGTGCTCAATGTTCCCTACATGTCAAGCACTGTTCTAACTGCTTTTAAATTTTCAGTTGATTGAATCCTTACAACAACCCCAAGTTAGCTGCTGCTGTTATCTTCATTGTACAGATGAGTAAACAGAGGCACAAAGAAATTCAATAACTCCCCCAAGGTAGCCTGGCTCTAGAGTCCACACTCTCATTCACCACAATGTCCTTGGATAATACTGAGCCAAAGAAATCAGGTATAAGGTACATTCTGCACGAACCCCTTTATAGAAAGAGTAAAAGTCGTGCCTGGGAGGCTCGGTTGGTTAAGCATCTGACACTTGATTTGCGATCAGGTCGTGATCTCAGGATCCTGAGGTTGAACTCCAGGGCAGGCTCCGTGCTCATTGGGGAGTAAACTTGAGAGAGTCTCTCTCCCTCTGCCCCTCCCCCTGCTTACATTCTAAATAAATAAATAAATAAATAGATAAATAAAATCAATCTTTAAAATAAATAAAAGCTAGTATCTTTTAAAAAATAAAAAAATAAGGGGCGCCTGGGTGGCTCAGTGGGTTAAAGCCTCTGCCTTCGGCTCAGGTCATGATCTCAGGATCCTGGGATTGAGCCCCACATAGGGCTCCCTGCTCAGTGGAGAGCCTGCTTCCCCCTCTCTCTCTGCCTGTCTCTCTGCCTACTTGTGATCTCTGTCAAATAAATAAATAAAATCTTTTTTTTAAAAGTTTAAAAAAGTAAATAAAAATAAAAAAATAGATCTCACAGGTCACAGAAGGGATAAATATCAAAGAATGGGAAAAGACATACCAGCCTAACATCCCCTGAAAGAAGCATGGCTATGCTTCTACAGTCTAAAGTTGACATTATGGCAAAAGGAAATGTCAAAAGTGCAGAGATAAAAGAAATAAAACCAATGAATTGTTTAAGTAGCAGTTAGTAGAAATTTATTGTGCACACACCAGAAAGAGTTTGCAAACCAAGCGCATCCAAACTAAAACATAGAATGAGGCTCGGGGGTGTTATTGCTTCTATAAACCAGCTTATATAGTGAGAAAGCAGTGACTGTTTATTCTTCATGGTGATTGGTTATAATATTGGAGATTTCTTAGACGACTGAAAATTTTCTCTTTTTTTAAGATTTTACTCATTTAGGGGCACCTGGGTGGCTCAGTGGGTTAAGCCTCTGCCTTCGGCTCAGCTCATGATCTCAGGGCCCTGGGATCGAGCCCCAAGTCTGGCTCTCTGCTCAGCAGGGAGCCTGCTTCCCTTCCTCTATCTCTGCCTGCCTCTGTGCCTACTTGTGATCTCTGTCTGTCAAATAAATAAATAAAATCTTTTTTTAAAAATATTTTATTTATTTATTTGAGAGGGAAAGAGCACAAGTGGGGGGAGGGACAGAGGGAGAGAGAAAAGCAGAAACCGCACCCCCCACCCTGACTCCCCGAGCAGGGGGCCCGATGTGGGGCTCGATCCCAGAACACTGAGCCAAAGTCAGATGCTCAACTGACTGAACCACCCAGATGCCCATAAAGATTTTCTTACCTTATATCAACCTCAGGAAACAGGTCAAGTTTTGCACATCGTTTCCAGAAGCATAAGCAAGAAATGACCCAGGTCTAGTTAATCTTCCAAAATAAGCTACATGATATTTAGTTTTTAATAACTGCATTGGTTTTGTCTGGTTAGGGTGTTTTCAAGGCTGGTCTCCGTTTGTTTTTATTTTAACAAAGTTATTAGGAACAACAGGAACATTGTGATAAAGGGAACAAGTGACCAAGAAAATACACAAATCCTGACACATGACAATATAGCTCTAAATTACAAGATTTTAACTTACCCCAGCAGTAAGTTTGATAAATCAAACAGATAAAAAATTAATAAAGATATAGAATATTTGAAAAAGATGATAGGTTGATCAAATTAACAACTGAGGATCCCTAAACTCTTCATTTGTGACTCCTCATTCCTTTCAATCCCACGTGAGGTTTTATAAATATTAGCCACAAACCAGGCCAAGGCATAAATGCTGAAAAATGTTGAGGAAATAATATCATAGACAATACAGCCATTCGCAATGCAGAAAGAAAGAGAATGAGAGAGAGAGAGAAATCATCAACAATAAAGAGAAGATCAGGGGTGCCTGGGTGGCTCAATGGGTTAAAGCCTCTGCCTTTAGCTCAGGTCATGATCCTCAGGTCCTGGGATTGAGCCCTGAATCAGGCTCTCTGCTCAGAAGGGAGCTTGCTTCCCCCACCCTTCTCTCTCTGCCTACTTCTCTGTCAAATAAATAAATAAAATATTTTTTAAAAAATCAGCAGCTCTAATACTGACAATCACCCACTAGGTTCTGGCACAGTTGTACCTACTATCAAAGGCTGCTGATCAGTGCTCATGCCAAGCAGTTGCAAAAACTTTTCCCACTGAAACTTTTAGTCCTGTTTTTTACCCCTCCTCTGTCTGCCCTTCAGTCTCCTTTCTCTCCAGTTCATGACTTTGCAAAGTTCACAAGTAGGCAGAAAGGCAGGCAGAGAGAGAGGAGGAAGCAGGCTCCCCGCTGAGCAGAGAGCCCGATGTAGGGCTCCAATCCCAGGACCCTGAGATCATGACCTGAGCAGAAGGCAGAGGCTAAACCCAATGAGCCACCCAGACGCCCCCAGAGCAATGTGTTCTAAAAGGGAAAGGGAAAGAAATAATAAACATAATAACAGCAATGAATGAAGCATTAAAACAACAAGAACTGTAGAGAGAATCTGTGAAATCAAACGTTACCCCTTTAAGAAGAAAAAAATGGTTTAACTTCTTGGAATAAGTGTGGTAAGCAGAATTCTAAAAATGATCCCGCAAGGACCAACACCTTCCTATAATCTCCTTCCCTTGAGTGTGGGTGGGACGTGTGAATAGGATAGAATGTCAATCCCATGACTATGTTACATTATATGACAAAAGGGATTTTCCAGATGTAATTAAAGTACCAAATCCATTGATCTTGAGGTTAATCATAAAGTAAGATTATCCCAGGAGGGCCTGACCCAGCCAGGGGCTGAGACCTCCAAAGGGGCTGGGGCCTTCCCACCAAGAATTAGGGATCAGACTAAACAAACTCTTATAAACCAATTAAAAAATAAAAAGATTCAGAGACCGTCCTCAGCGCAGGAAACTGAATGGCCAACACACATGCTCAACTCAGCATCCAGCCAATTAGAGAAAAGTAAATGAAAGCGAGATAGAATTTCACACTCATTGGATTAGCAAAATGTTATAACTCACGGGATCGGGGATTGAATGACAACACAGGGATCTTTCTTTACATACTGTCGTGAGAGTATAAGCTAATTCAATTTCGCAGTGCCAAGTCCAAGCCAACAACTCCAGCTCTAGCCATCGACCCTAGAGAAATACAGCGGTGCGTGGGAGGTAACCCAGCCAAAATGCTAACTCCGTGAGAGTAGAGTGTGTTCGTCTGCTTTATTCTTTGCTCTATCTCCAGTGCCTAAGCTTAGTTGGTGTTCAATTAATATTTGTTGATTCATTTAATGAATGAACTAAAGACCTGGTGATACTGAGAAAGCTCGCTCTGGCTCCATAGAGAAGGAGAGGACAGATTAGAGGCAGGATGTACAGTAATACAGGTAGAAAGTGACACTGTAATCTATCACGGAGACCAGTTCAGGAGGAGTGACTGTCCCAGTGGTACCACTCAGTTCTTACCTGGTAAGCTCATCTCCTTCCTCCTCTGATCACGGACGGTCTGAGGGTCTCTGCCTCAGCACTCACCCAGGAGGTCCTTAAGCTCCTCTTTAGTAAACCGAGTGAAGCACTGTGTGCAGTGGAACTCATCACTCAGCAACCGTGTTCCAGGACCTAGGAAAAAAAGTCCAAGCTCCTCAGTCTGGCATTCAATGCCCTTTAATATGTACCGTCCCCTACACTCAAATACCGACCACCCCCAGGCCACCAGCAAGAGATTTGGGCTGGGAGGGGACTGGGGGCTGAGAGCGGGTGCCCCCTCTCAGCTGGTTGACAGCCACCAATGGCCCAGCAGACAATAGGACAGTCCTCCCGACCTGCTCTGACTCTCTGCGACTCTCTCCTCTGAGATCTCCCGCCCCTGGGAGTATGTCTTCACCTGCCCCTCCGCACCCCATGCCATGTGAGAACTCCCCTCCCGGCACCTTCCAGCTGTGCCTCTCTGACTCTTGCCCCTTGTTCCCAGCCAGCTCGTCTCTGGAATTCTGGGGCTTGCAGCTTCTCAGTGTTTTCTCCCTATAAAGCCAAGCCCCTCCTCGAAGTCCTTCAAGTGTTTTCCCCCGTGTTAGCTATCCCCTGCAATATCTGTGGTTGTTTGATTCTGCCTGTAACTTTCTTCCACATGCTTCTCCTTGGCTTTTTCTCCCCTAGTTGCTCTTTCTAGGGGAACTGGTTAGTGCTGTGTTCTCGTCTGCATTGATGTGCTTTCGGGAGGACAGAGGGTTCACCCCCTTCTGCTCCACTCAAATCCACAGTTCCTTAAGTCTGTCTTTACTTCCTCAGCTCCCCCATCTCTGCTTCGAACCCCATGTCAACCCCATGTCAACCCCAGGTCAACTCTCCAGGTGTAGGACTGAATAAGGAAGCCACGTTCCCACTGCCTTTTACCCTTTGCTTGCCAGAGGGAGGCTGAAGGGATAATGAAGGGCAGTGTCTGTGAGTCCCCAAGGTTGGAATGCAGAAGGCTCTGGATGGATGTGACTGTTCTTTTCTGCAGGGAGCTCCTTGTGCCCAGGAACAGAGGAGGGGGAGAGGGTACCACCGAGCATTCCACCATGCAGAAGGACAGGAAATAGTCAAGTGAAGGATTTGGGGGAAGTAGGAGCAATTTCCTCTTTTTCTGCAGGAATCCAGATACTCATGTTAATAGAGAGGGCTTGGGATTTTCAGGTTCTAGAATGCAAAGATGCAAACCCCTTCTTAACCTTTCCTGGGATGGCAGTGGGCTCTCAGAGCTGGATTGACCCTTGGTAGAACAGGAGGTTTCATTTTGCTCCGTTGCTTCCCCTGCCCTCCCCTGCCACAAACTCAGGGAAGGGTCAGGACCGGGGCACAACCCAGCTGTAAGCTGACATTGCTGCAAACCACCCCAACCTCTTGTTTGGGATTCTCCCCCCTTCTTCCTTTCATCAGCGCCCCACCTGGGAAGAAGATACCTGTGCACCTTTACCTGGGCTTTGGGAGGTCCAGGAAGGACATTAAGAACAGCTCTCAGATACCAGGTTTTTATACCGTCAGGGGCTCTGCCAAGTATGTGACAAACTTGAGTTCACAGCACTCTCTCAACACCCCGATGGTGCAGAGAGACCCATACCCTCACTTGTTAGAGGAGGTCACTGGGGCTCACGGATCCAGGACCCATGGAAGGGACAAGGCAGAGCCGGGATTTATGCCCAGGTCTATCTGATTCCAGAGTCCATGCCTCTATAACGTCTGTTGGTTCACTAAACATTCCTTGAGCACCTACTATGAGCTAAGCCCCATGGACACAGCAGCAAGCTGACAGCTCAGGTCCTGCTCTCTTGTTACTTTCCAAGAGGGCAGAGGCTGTATACAGGTAAACACACATATATCCTGACATCAGGGAGCAGTGGGCACCTCAAGAAGATACAGCAATTCATGGCCGCAGAGGGATGGAGGTGCCTGTTTCCCATAAGGTGATCAGAAAGGCTTCTGTGAGGAGGAGAATTTGATGAGCAATCTGAACGAAGGAGTGAGCCATGCAGATGAGTTTGAAGAAGGGAGATGGCAGTCTGTGGAGCTAAACCCAGCATGCAGATTATTGTTTTTAATGGAAATATAGTTGGCACACAATGTGACACTAGTTCAGGGGTACCACAGAGTGGTGAACACAGCATGTTTTTATGCTATCGTGACTCCACTGCCCCTGCTGTACCTTTCATCCCCATGACTTATACCTGGAAGGCTGTACCTCCAACTCCCCTTCACCCATTAACCCTTCCCCCTCCCTTCTCTGGGAACAATCCCTTCCCTGTGTTTATGGGTCTGTTTTTGCTTTTGTTTTGTTTTGTGTTTTATTTATTTAAGTAATCTCTACACCCAACATGGGGCTCGAACTCATGACCTTGAGAGGAAGAGTCACATGTTCTTCCAACCGAGCCAGTTGGGCCCCCCGCCGCCGTTGTGGTTTTCATTTTCATTTCCCTGATGATGAGTAACGTTGAGCATCTTTTCATGGGTCTATTGGCCACCTGGATGTCTTCCTTGGAGATATGTCTGTTTTGGTCCTCTGTCCATTTTTTATCAGATTGTTGGCTTTTTTGATGTTCAGTTGTATAAGTACTTTATATGCTTTGGATATTAACCCCTTATCAGATATATAATTTGCAAATATCTTTTCCTATACAGTAGGTTGCCTTTTTGCTTTGTTGATTTTCTTTGTTGTTTTGTTGGTTTTCTTCACTGTGCAAAAGCTTTTTATTTTGGTATAATCTCAATAGTTTATTTTGGCTTTTGTTGCCTTTGTCTTAGGAGATATACCTCGAAAAATATTGCTAAAGCAGATATCAAAGAGATTACTGCCTATGTTTCCTTCTAG